CTCATTTATTGTGCTCTTATTGGGAACAAAACAAATGTTTTTTTCAGCCTCACTGGTGATTTGTCTTCACATGAATATTTCAGGTTAATAAACCAGACAGTATGTAAAGTATAGCAGCTGCACTATTGTGGACTACATTCGTGTCTTTGAACTCTGGAAGTCTAAAAGTTTATTGTCTGAGCCTAGTGAGTCACATTAGTCTCTTCATGTAGAATAAAAATAGGCACCTCCATAAAGTGCTTCATCTACTTCATCACCTATTTTTATAGACCTACTTTAACATGAAGTGGAAAGATTTTTTAGAAAAGCAGTTTGAATCCTGAAACAAATAAAAACAACAGAAAACAATGATCTTTGGCAGGTGTTTGGCACAAAGGCATTTTTAATGTTTGTTACAGGAGGCCTGTACATGGCTAGTTTGGAGTAATTTAATGTTCTGTCCCTCAGTCCACTTCATAGTAGCTGCCCTAACTGCAAGATTTCAATTCACTGACAAATTCCAGTTACATTTACATTTAGGAATAAGTTGAAGGATGTTTAATGTGAGCAACTTGTTAGTACCCCCTGCAGAATACTTGCAAAATAAAGACATGCACCATTTTAGGAGGCACCAAAAACTTTAAATATGGCAATCTCATGGTGATTATTTATAAAGCCACATTTATTTGTTCTAAAATTGCAAGGAAAAAAAAAATAAAATAAAAAAGCTTTTAATATTCATTCTGTCCTCACCACATTGAAAATAATCAGGTGTTAATTTGGATGTGAGAAATGTTTCCAGTTCTGTTTCAGAAGTATTATTAAAACTTGATGGAAGCTAATGGCAAGCACAGGCAGCAAGTACTAATAACCCTAGAGACCCAGTGTAATCAAGTTATAATGGCTGCATCCAAAGGGCTGTTTTTGTCTTGTCTGTAGGGTTCAATTTTCTATCTTAGACAGGAGAAGAGAGGAGGCTTTATCTGCAATAGAAATAGAGATCAGCCTCCCAGGCATGACAGTTGTGCCTGCTCCTACCTCCAAGTGTTGCTCCTTCCCCTGCTTCTGGTGACACATGTCAGATGAACTGATGACAAGTAGTAGATCTGCGTTAACAAGGAAACAAGTTTTTTTCAAAAATCTCCATTTGCTCTAATGCAGATGTGTGTTCAATGTGACCCTGGCGTGTAGCTGAGTGAAGATAATCATACGAGGGATGAATTCATATGTCAGATAGCAATGCTAATAGACTTTATAATCTTGGACAACAGTCTGAAAACATTAACTGCTAAAAAAAAAGCAGTTTTTTGAGTACAAGATCTTGTTTCATATATAAGTACAAAAGAAGTCAGACATTTGTAATTTCCTAAGTTGCCCTGAAGGTTTGGAATACCTATTGAGATATCTGTCACAGTGCAAGTAAAAGAGCAGGGACAAGAAATTTCTTTATCAGGCTGTATCTGAGAGACTTCTTATCACTTGGGAAGGATGAATTTTCTTGACGCTTCCTGAGGCTTATTACATAAGGACTTGCTGTCTTCTGTAAAGAAGAGGGATCCCTATTTTGAAGTCTGGATCAGAACGTGAATTATTGTGTACCTCCTAAGACCACATATGGGAATATTATTGTAGAACTCAGTATCCTGGATTTAATTTATTGGATTTTTGTTCTTTTATATATGTATACATTATGAATACACATTACTCAAAGTAACAAAGAAGACAGGCTTGGTGGTACCTGTGAAAGTATACACTGTGCCTAATTCTTTGTGTGCGGATGACCTGTATTCCTCAGTTTCTTCCAGTTTCAGAGCCTCTGGAAAATGCTTTTAGTCTGAGGGAAAATGGTAGAAAATGAGAATGAATGTATTTAAAGATAGTGTATGCACCGTCTTTAGTGTCACAAACTTTTCACTGAGTGCTTTGGATGGTTTGGTCATTGAACTATGTGGTTTACGAGAAAATACAGTCAAGGCTAATCTCACAATCTAAAGGCTCCAACGCAACCGTCAAGAAAATTCTGTGTTGTAAAACAGACTTTTATGAGGGGGTGATATTGAAGGGAGCCCTGTCCAGTGCCATGCCTGCGTGCACCGTGTGTGGGAAACTGTGTCATGTTATGTAAAGAATCCATGCACCTGAAAATAGTCAGCTGTAATTTTGCACAAGTGAGGGCCAGTCTTAAGATGTCTCAAGAGCTCCTTCTGCACTAAGACTTGAGTGGGTTTATGTGGAAGAGTTTAGACTGGCCTGAAGAATTCCAAGCTGAGTTAGGATAAATTGCAGAAAGTGTAAGGTGACACATTTTTCCTGATGGGCTGCAGTAATGCCACTTGCAAAACCATGCTCCTGAACTTGAACTGAATTTCTGAATGAAGTCATTTGATTTGTCTAGTTTCAAAATGAGTTTAAAGCTTTTTTTTTTTTTTTTTTTTTTTCCTTCCCTGATTTTCTTAATTGCTTTTTCAGAATGCCCATTTGCTGAGGCAGGAAACAAGCAGCTACACTCACATGGTATGTTAACCTCTTTCTAAGAATAGCTCCCTTAAGGAAGCGGGGAGGAGGTCCCTTAAAAGGGACAGGAAGAGGTGATATGAGTGTGGCAAGGTAGGTTAATCCTGAGTTAAGTGTTTGATACTCACCTGTTGGCTATGACAATCTGCTGCGATGCCTGTCAGGTTGGGAGCTGGATTTGTGCCTCAGCCCTTTCTTTGTTGAGGCAAGGAGAAAATCCATGCCAAAAATAAATCTGATAATAGTATTGTTTCCTTCTCTCATGTGTGGCACCTTCAGGTGTATCAACGAATTCTGAGTAAACTCAGTACACAAAGAAAAGCTCCTTTTAACATTCTCCTTTTAACAGCAGACTGAAAAGCTAAAAATGGAAGTTCCTTGCTGTGGGCAAAGAGGTATTACACAAGGAGGGGAGGGATGTTAATGTGAATGTAGGACACAGGCACTCAGATAAAGGGTTAGACAGATAAGAATAAATGAAGGATAGACAGAAAAAGTGGTGCTTTAAGATTTCAGCCCCAGCCAAGTTTCTGTATTGTCCCTGACCAATGCATCTGAGACAACATCTAGGAGTAGGTCTGCCAAGTGGAATTTCTTCATTCCCAGCTTCCATATTTCACTTTGTGGCTTGAAATACACCTGAGGATATTACCTTACTCCTCAGATCTAGTTTAGAGTTAAGAAGATTTGTTTTGAAGTAGCATTGTATGCTCAGTGCTGCACGTTGGAACACTTTTTTTATTTTTTAAAAGCAACAAAACTGACTTTTGTATCTTCAGTTCAGATGCAGAACACTGAAAAAGTCATGCGTTTCAACCCATTATGGAGTGCAGAACACTCTGATAGCTGAACCATAATTGTTTGTTCTAGGAAAGGTTAAATCTGTCTGTATCAGTGACCAAATGCAAAAGAGAGGTAGCCACAGTTTGCGGCAGAGCATTTTCTTTTTTGAAGCTGTTTAGGATGCTAATGAGCAGGATGGTATAGAGAGGAGGCAACATGGTTTGGAATAAGATTTTCCTCATTCAGGAGGTTATGCTGCTTTGCCCTGCAGCCTTCACTACCTGCTTTTTTATTTTTATTTTTATTTATTTTTATTTTATTTTATTTTCCCTCTGACAATCTACTGAAATGAAGTAACCCTCATTGGTACTAATTGTTGACGCTTTTGCAATTTTCTCTTTGGCAAATGCTTCATTATCAGCTCAGTAGCATTGCAAGTCAGCAGGATGCTGGTTGTTACTGTGTAGTGGAAAGGAGCTGCTGTTAGACTGAAATCTCATAAAATCCTATTAACAGAAATACTGCTCTGCTGTGTACAAGTGAAAGTGTCTCAGATCAATGGTATCCAGTGCTTTTTACTAGAAATGTATGTTTTCTGTTCAGTGCCATTACAGACGTATTAGAAACATACTAGATAGTGCTAAGTATCATAATGGCACTTACTATGGACAGAAAAAGGTGTTGAGCTCTGTATGATGAATATATTTTTACAAACACTGACTGTTCTTTGCTGTATTTTACCTTCATAAAAATTGTTCTTATTACTTGCATTATTATTATTTTAACTTGTTGATTAGATCAAATATTCTTATGCCCCTCATTCTTTTTATGTTCTTATGTACCCTCATTAAAGAACTTATTCACATAATTTGGTTGTAGATATCTACTGAGGTAGCAGCTCACAGATACCATTCTTATACTTGTATGTAGCATTGGCATTGCACGCTGCATGGTGTGGCCACTCTTACCCAACAGATTCCTATCAGACAGAGAATACCTTTCAGGTATATAGCAAAGAGAGAGCACGTCAAGCCTTTTCCACTGGAACTTGTAATGACTTTTGGCTATTTCTGGTGGTGCCACATGACAGAATATCTGAAAACTATTCCTTAAGAACTCCATGTATGACCAGAGCCTGCATACTCACAGCAACGTTTGCCTTTGGCAACAAATAGTGCCTTATAATTACAATTTTAATCACTGTAGCTTCAAACAAAAGCATCCTTGCCTTTTTGTAATTTCTGCTGCAATTTGCACAAAATAAGGAAATAGCATTGCTAAGATACTGAACATGATACTCAGTCTCCCTTTTGCTTAGATGTCTGTGAACCTACTGCAGAAAATGACAAAATCACTTTGAAGCACCCATTTCTTCCTTCCCATAAGACTTCAGGTGAAATGCAGAACATGCAAATTGGTTGTTTGATTTTTAAGCAAAACACACTAGGGAAAAAATAAAAGAATTTATTTAAAAATTCCTTCAGGACAAGGACACAGTCTCCTGGTGGGATAAGGAGGATGCTTACAGATGTAGCCTGCTCTTTGAGGCCTGGATATCTTCTGCAGAGACTGTCAGGTAGGTGGTGAGAAGCAGAATGGAAGGAAAGTTGTCAGTGCTTTCTAATCTGGCAGTTTTTACAGCCTAATTTACTCAGCTGTGATGTTTCATTTGCCTATAAGAAACCATTCGGGCAAGTGCCCTAGCTGCTTTATCTTCAGCCCCACCTCTTCTCTCTGAGGCAAATATCACAATCATCCTAAATCACTCCTAATTATATGTTTAGTGTTGGCTATGTACAGCCAGTCTTCTACAGAGATGGCACAGAATTACTAACCAGAGCAATCCGCTACTGTGCTGGAAAAGTTGGTGTTTTAATTCCATCTGAGATAAGAACTTGGTAAATGGTTATTGTGGTAGCCTTGTGGCACCCAACACTTTACCTGTATCTGCTCTCTTGGTAATTTTTCCTCTTTTCCTACAGGAACTCCTGCTATCATTGGCCACCCTATTTACCTGGAACTGTTTTAAAATGCACTTAACAGGGTTTGCTGCCCATAAACAGTGACTTGTCAAATCAGAATGTCTTTCTTTCATCTAGATGATGAATCAATTAGACATTTGAATAGTTGAAGGTGTTCTTGCTGTTCGTAGTGGTAGATAAGGAATCTTCTGGTAGTGGCCTTTCTTTTGCTCTCTGTAAGTACATTAAAGGAGGCTGTAGCGAGGTGTGGGTTGGTCTGTTCTCCCATGTGCCTGGTGACAGGACGAGGGGGAATGGGCTAAAGTTGTGCCAGGGTTGTTTTAGGTTGGATGTTAGGAAGAACTTCTTTACCGAGAGGGTTGTGAGGCATTGGAGTGTGCTGCCCAGGGAAGTGGTGGAGTCACCATCCCTGGAGGTCTTTAAAAGATAGTTAGATGTTGAACTTAATGATATGGTTTAGTAGAGGACTTGTTAGTGTTAGGTCAGAGGTTGGACTCGATGATCTTGAGGTCTCTTCCAACCTAAACAATTCTGTGATTCTGTGATTCTCCTTATGCCCAACACCTGTCCTGTGTCTCTGCAGTGTGAAGAGAGTTCGGGGGCTCAGTGTGTGTTGTGACAGGTCTCCCAAAGTTCCCTAGTGCCTGCAGTGTTCATTGATTGCCACCAATGCCTTCCCTGCCTCCCCTTGTTGTTCTCTGTGTGCAGTTTTGTATTTGGAAAGTTCTTTCCTCTGTACTGTAATGTGAGTTAGCCTTTGTGGGTAGAGGGAAGGAGCATACAAACCTACAATGCAGGGCAATAAGCTGTATACTCTAAGTTGGCCAGATACGCAGCAGACTCAGGCCTTGCCAAACTGCCTTATGCGTCATCTTCTCCTTACCACCTGCAGTGAGTACTGTTACTTCATCACTGATTTCTGCATTACAATTACATGCTCCCTCACCATAGCCGCACAGCAGTAGGGTTTCAACTGAGTGGTCAAGAGATCTGGTGGCATCTTGACAATGGAGTTAAGGTGCCTCTGCTTGCCTGGCAGCATGCTGGAGTATGATCTTTAAAAGATGAAAAGATGGATTTTGTTGTTGTCTGAAGGTTTTATTTATTTATTTATTTATTTTTAATAAGTATCACCTAGAAGTCATCTATGAATACTTCTACTTAAGGTCTTGAAGACAGGAGAAACTAAGTGTTGAGAAGACTGAAGAAGAACTAGAGACCTTGGGGTGACATAGGAGGCTAAAGAGGGATAGCTATGAAGTTGAGCAGCCCATTAAAGTATTGCCATTGCTGGTAACAGAATACAGACTTTGCATTGGCTCTGAAAGTCTTCTGGACTAGGACTCACCAAGCTTATTTTGTCTGGACTTGTTCTGGCCTGTCTGGAGTTTTACTGAAGCTTTTCTTTTTTTTTTTTTTTTTAAACTAAAACAACAATTGTTGAACAACCAGGTGACTATTTTGTAAAGCTAAACAGCTTTAGCTTACATTAGGCCATTGTGTAGTGGTATAATAATTTTGATGTCCTTCTGCAAATGACAGTTATCAATAGCAAGCAGTTCTTCTGTGTATAGTGAACTATTTATGACCCTGGAACAATAATGTAGTGAATTGGTATACAGGTTAAGGATGGTAGCAGAAACCTTGAAAGAACAGGAACAAGAAGATACCAGAAGCTCTAGGGCTATAAACAAATCACCAGTAGTCAGTTACTGATCATTAAATTAATACAAGTTCAGGAAAACATTTTTTTTTTTTTAAGGATAGCAAAACAAAAAATAAATACCCACCATATTTAAAACACAACATGTATAATACATTTGAAAAAACTTTGAGTTATAGCAAAACAAAAAATAAATACCCACCATATTTAAAACACAACATGTATAATACATTTGAAAAAACTTTGAGTTATGGACCATGAAAGGCAGAACAAGAGATAACACATGTTAACATAGAGAAGTACCCAGCAAGCAGACTCTGAAGTGAGGAGAAAAGAAATCCCTCCATCCATATACATCTCCTCTTCTGCTGATTCTCCACCAGTAAAAGGACCAGCATAACAGCATAGAAAAGATACAAAGTAGTAGGAGTGTGTGCGTGACTTTGGCGATTCTAACTACAATTTTGAGGACTTTTTCAGTGGAATTTCTTGTGTTCTTCCTTGCTCTTCCTATAATGGTTATATACCAGCTAATAACAATTATTTGATTAGAATGTTATGATTCTAATTAGACTAACAATAAATTTCACATAACATGTTTGTTTCTGTAACCCATATAAGTTGCACATGGTGCAGTATAATGTCGATAGGTTAGAATCACCTCTATGTCCATAAAAACAGTGGAAATGGACTTGAAGGGACACAATGACAGAAGTTATATGTTGGAAGAATATCAGTAAGTTCTCATAGGTGAAATACAGTAATTGAGGAATAGTCACAGAAAATGACAATGGAAGTGTATTTTTTAAAAGAAAATACCCTTTTTGTGTGAAGTACTTTAACTGGTAATTCAACTTGCTTGCACCTAATAGATTCCATAGTTACTTGCATCCCCTGTAATGACATGACATACTCTGCATGAACCTGCAGAACAAGGTATTTTTGTGCAATGAACACTTAAACAGAGCATTTTGCATTTTCTTCATTTGGTAGGTTTTGCAGACATGTAAATATAGCTATTGTTTCATACGCACTCCCCCCCCCCCACACCCCCCAATAAATAAATAAATAAATAAAAGGAAAGGAAAAGCAATTTAAAAAATCCTATTCAGTATTCCGTTTGAGTGTGCTGTCCTTCATATCCATTCCTCTTTCTGGTTAAGATACAATAAGATATAAGCAATTAAAGAATTTCTTCTGTAAGTTGTTAGGTGTGTTAGTGGCATGAGGAATAAGAAGAGTGTGTTCAGCTGAGCACAGAATTGATATTGGTATTACTGAGGTCAGACATGGGGAGGCAGAATGACTCGGGCAGTAAGAGTGTCAAGAACAGGCTGGGTAAGGGGGACAGGGACAGCAAGATGTTACAGGGGTTTGCATGGCCACTGGAGTTATGAGTAAGAAGAAGTGTTTTAAAATACATTCTCAAATACCTTATCTGGGTTGGACCAGATGACCTCCACAGGTACCTTTCAACCTAAACAGTTTATGATTCTGGTAGGCATTATAGGAAAAAAATGAAGCTCCAATTAGTATTATATATTCTATCCTATTCAAAGATCTATTCTATTATAATATTATCTATGCCTATTACCCATCTCCAGTTATTGTTATCTGCTACTGGACAGAGGTGGACAAATGACCAGTTTTATCAATGATAACACAGAAATGTTCAATGATATTTCTAATCTATAGTTGGAAAAAGACTGACTTGATTTATTTAGATCATAATGATAAAAGACATCCTATTCCGAGAATAACTCCAGAAATATGTGAAAGGACCTCTGCTAAAATTAAACATTTCAAAATTATCTAGCTAAGGTAATTTGCATACAGGAGCTTTAAAAGAGTAGATTGAATGGTCCTTCCAATAAATCTGGAAGTTGTTCTGAAATTCAAGGGATCTAGAAGAATAGAATGCCAATATTAATAATAATAATAATAAAGTTGAACAGAAGGACCTAAGATTTTTGTCCCCTGATACTGATCGGGACAAAATGATGTCCTAAATGATGAAGATTTTAAAGTGTATAATGATATTACTGCTGATCAACTTGTGTCAAATAGACAAGACTTTTTCATACTAACAGGTTGAAACAGTAAGCTTAGGTATGATAGAAACCACAGTATTAATGTATTTTCGTAAAAGATTTAATTTTACACAAGCTTAATTAATGAAGTAGTACAAGCCTGTTCCCAGGAGGTTGATTTAGTGCTCCTTAAGTAAATGTATGCATCAGTAACGCAATTCAAGCAACTCAGACAGCACCTGCAGCTCTATGGGCCTTCTGACAGAAACTTAGCCAACCAGGAGGTAAGCAAGTGATATGAAAGTGATATACAACATTAGATGACACAACTCTGTAGTTGTAAACTTGGTAGTAGTAGCCATGAGCACTGGGTTGCAATTATCCACAGTGTTACTGACACTAGGAAGTTCTTGGAGGCTACTGTATAGCCCCACACATTCCCCCATAGGGAAAATGTATCACGTTGATGGCTATTTCTAAGAACAATCACAATGAACATACCTCTTGATGCTGGCTTCATTAAGAGCTTTACCTCACAGAATTTTATGTTACTCAAGATCCCCAAAGGGGTATTACTGTTATATAGCTACTCAGATTCATACTGCAGAGGAGTCTCAGGTCTGGGGGGTTTTGTCTAGCTCTACTGTTCTACAAACCTTCAATTTCAATGAAGAGTTAACAATCAATGCTGATTTCCACATCAATGTTAATTTTTTTTTCTTTTTTTTTCTCTCTTCCTACGACTTAGCAGGCAGAACAAAATTTTATGAGTGAATGTGAGGGGCGCACAATAGTGCTTTGAAGACAATCAGCCTTACCATGCCGTCATGTGTCTGAACTAATATTTCTGAACTAGATAATGGCCCAAGCCTACATAATTGGCTGATAGATATAAAATGGTATATTTAAGTCAATTCCCTTTCTAGCAACTGCATTATCTGCCTGAAGATAAACTTTTCTATTGTATGTGGGTGAAAAGATCAGAATCATTATTTACTGTGTCTTTTAGTAAAGCTCAAATCCAATTCTGTGATAATCAGCTTTAGTTGCCAGGCTGAACATACAATAAACAGTGCCCTCTAAGACAGTAGTGGAAGTGGTTCTTTTTTTCAGCATCAGTCAAATTATGATTTGAGGTATAGCTGACAAGGAGTTCCAGGAGTGTCCTACTATTATTTTTGCACCCTGCTGTGATCAGCTTGGCTCCCTGGAGATCACAATCTGACTGATGTCCATATAGATGGGAAGATGTTGATGTTTGTTACCCCAGCAGAGAATAAGTGCCTTGAATAAATTGAAAGCATCTGTTGTTTTGTTGCTGTTGCTGCTTTTGTCTTCTGTTGGCATTATTGCAGGTAGCCAGTTATAGTGTCAACTGTTTCAGTATTACTTTTATCATCTAC